TTCCTTCTGCTGTTGCCGTTTGGCTTCCCCGAGTGCCTGCCCTGTCTCCCGGTGCGGGGTCGCAGCTCCCCGCGTGTGCGGGAGCGGTACCACCAGCGCTCCCCGCCGCCGTGCTACTGCCGGGGTGGGTACACAGACCGGGCCCTCTGGGCTTAGCTCTCCGGGTGAGCTGGGAGCGGTGGGGCGCCGCTCCGCCGGGCTCGCCGAGGGTGTCCTGGTGCTCTGTCGGGGCTGGGTGGTGGGTCTTGGCTCGGGTTTGCAGCGCAGCTTTTGATTGCAGAAGAGGTAGGCTGTGCTAGTGTATTGCCTGGACCTCAGATTAATGCCTGTAAGAAGTGGTCTGTGCCCTCAGAACAGCTTGGCCCTTCCTGAACTGGAGAGGAGAAGAGGGTAGAAAACTTGAGCATTGCCTCATCTGGCAGTGTGTCATGTCTAAAAACTTCTGGCTTAGCTGCTGCTGTGCATTGAGCCCTCTGCAAGAGGGTTACCTATCTGCAAACAGTGCTGGAAGCACCATGCAGGCAATCAAAGGGTTTTGATAAATGTGAAAATAATTTCTCTGCTTTGACTTGTGTCTCCTTCTTAGAAATAGAGAAGGAAAGAGTAGTGATGTCCCCTTCTGGAGAGGGTGAAGCTGTGGGAAGGTGTCCAGGGGCAGAATCTAGTCTGCCTTCCTTCTGAGAGGAGAGTGGAAAAGAATCAGCCCCTGTACCTGTGCAGGACTACTTGCTTCCTAGAGCTCCCTTTCCTCTGTGAGCTCTCAAAACTATTTCCTTGTTCCCACCTTCAAAGCATCTGAAGTTCAGACAGCCAACACTAGCCCCAAAAGGGAAATTTTCCTCTGTTGGCTGTGAGTTGGGCATCAGCAGGCTCACAAGCTCAGGAGGAGATGTCTGAGGTATCAAATGAGCTGAAAAAGTTTGTAAAAGCATGGAGCTCAGTGTAATAGTAGGTATGAAAAGCTCTTACTATAGTTTTTAACTTGGAAAAAAGCTCCAAGTAATGCAAATCAGGCTGGATATTTCATGCCTCTCTGTTCTAAAAATTGTGAGTAACCCAGGCTTACTAAGAAACCTGACTTCTCAGCAGTTATGGGAATTCAGCTGAATAAATTTCCCTGGGAAAAGATGCAATGTGGATGAAACTGGCCCAAGTAAGTGAGAAGCATTGGAGGCTGCATTAATTTAAATGAGGAAATGACCTATATACAGTGTGTGTGAATAAAAACTTGGCAAAACCAGGTAGAGATGAGCAGAATGGTGTTAGCAGACAGGTGGATCTGCTGTCTGTCTCGTACAGCTGCCCTTGAGCTGGAAGGAGGCGATGCAGAAGGAGTTAGCTGGTGGGTGTGTTGGGAAGCAAGACTTGGCACATTTATTCTGAATAAACAGATACCCTTGCTGAATGGATGCTGTGAAAGCCTGGTCAGAGCTGCTCTGTTGGTGTTGCGGGGTGGGGAGTTAAAGCACTGAATTGGAGAGCGTAGTTTGGGCTTTTTCTTGGCACGGGGGCAGCAATCAAGTACTAGAGCTGGCTATGCGTGGCTTTGGCAGCTGGAGCTCTGCCGCATCACGTGGCCGGTGGCTGCTGCTACCGCTGCTGGCTCGCCCTGCCTGCATGGTGGGGGCAGCTTTGGAGTCTGGCCTGCAGCCAGACAGGATTTTTATTAAGGGAATATTCTGTGTTTAAGGTCAGCTGCAATGCAGTTGACTTAAGGGGGATGTATGCGGTAAATCCGTGCAGTGGTTTATCCAGAGCCAGGCCAAAAAGAGTGCCAAAAATATTCAGCCTAACCTCAGTGTAAGGGCAGGAGCGATACATACGATGTTCTGGGAGCTGCCAGGCTGCAGAGGCAACTCCAGGGCTGCATCTGCCAAGGTGCTGAGTGGGAGCTGCCCTAGAGAGAGTGCACAGAGAAAGACAGTGCCGCATCCCTGGAGGAACAGGCTGGTTGCTGGAGGTGAGAGGGGTGTACCTGTGCCTTTTGGGGGCAGGGACTTGCTTCTAAAGGCTTGGTCAACCTTAAGTAGGTGAGTTCTGTTTGGCAGAGCTCTGTGCCTATACAGGCATTTCCCAGGGGCTCAGCACAAGTGCTGTAGAAGCTTGAGGTGCAAACTCTGTGTCAGAGGTAAAATTTGTTGGGCCAACTGAGCTGACATGTGTTTTAAAGTGCACCAGAGGGAAGAAAGCAGCTCCTCTGTAGGTGCAGAGCAATGTCAGCTAAATCTCTACCCTGCTGCTGTAGCAGACTGTTGCTATCCTTGCAAGACAACTTGCAGGCATTTTAGATGAAACGGTTCTGGGAGACAGTGATGAGCAATGTATGTAGCTTAACCAAACGAGTGTTTTTTAGCCTCTTAAAATACTAAATATTTGGAGTTTTATGAAAGGTGAGGTCAGTTGTGTACAGCAGCTTGTGATAAACTGAGTTCCTGCTCCTGCAAAAGCACCCAATGCCCTAGGAAGAGTCTCCCCTGGAGGGAGGAGAATGCAGCAGGATTACTGCTTTACATAGCATTGAAATTTGATAATCTCTGGATTTTGTGGACATCAGCAGGACTGAGCCATGGGTTTTGCTTTGGGTCAGAAATGCTCTGGAGCCTGCTATTGCTAGCACATAGGGCAGTGCCTGTGTATGTCTTCAAATGGTGACTGTGTCTGTAGCGACTGGAAGAGATCTTGTTCAAGGGCACAACAGGCTCCAGTCCTGCCACTTCTGCTGTAGCACATTTCTCACCAGGTCTGTAAATCACATCATGTGAGTACCTGCCTTTAAGCTTGAGGGACTTGTGGGGTTGATGGAAGCAAGTTTCTTTGGGTTGGCTGGGGGGAAGTGGTGAGGCATTTGTCTGACAAAAGTCATATTAAAATGCTCTTCTAACATCAACTGACCCTTCTTCTCATCTTCCAGAGTATTAGACTATTTTCCTCACAAACAAGCAATGGCTGTGGATGTAGCAATGCAGCTATACCTGTGTTCCTCACCCTTGCGGAGAGAGAAGTGTGCCTGCAAAATTGCTCCAAAGCCAAGCAAGCCATTGCGGCCCTGCATCCAGCTGAGTAGCAAAACTGCGCTGAATGGACCAGAAGACGCAGCAGCCTCCTTCACACACAGCAAAGTGAAGAAGAGGGTGTCGTTTGCAGATAGCAGAGGCTTTGCTCTGACGATGGTGAAGGTGTTCTCAGAGTTTGATGATCCACTAGATATTCCTTTCAACATCACTGAGCTGATAGACAACATTGTAGGTCTGACGACAGTGGAGAGGGACAGCTTTGTCCTGGATTTTGTTCAGCCTTCTGTGGACTACCTGGACTTCAGAAACCGTCTCCAGGCTGACTGTGTCTGCCTTGAAAATTGTATGCTGAAGGAGCGATCTGTTGTGGGAACAGTGAAGGTGAAGAACCTTGCTTTTGAAAAGACTGTGAAGATCAGGATGACATTTGACACCTGGAAAAACTTTGTAGATTATCCATGCCAGTATGTCAAGGATACGTATGGCGGGTCAGATCGGGACACGTTTTCCTTTGACATCAGCTTGCCTGAGGGAATTCAATCACATGAAAGAGTTGAGTTTGCCATCTCCTTTGAGTGCAACGGGAAGGTGTACTGGGACAGCAACAGGGGCACAAATTACAGGATCATACGGTCAGAACTGAAGTCTGCCCAGGAAGCCATACGCACCCCGCAGGGCCCTGACTTCGGCAGTGCCTTTGACCAGTTTGGGAGCCCTCGGTGCTCCTACGGCCTCTTTCCCGAGTGGCCCAGCTATTCGGGCTATGAGAAGCTAGGGCCGTACTACTGACCCAAGGACCAAGTCCTGATTGACTAACTGTTGCTGGTGTGTCTGCAGGCCTGGGAGCTGGTCTGAACATGAGGTGTACAGAAAGGTGGGGAAAAAAAATGGCTCCATGTAGCTCTGCGTAAGCCTCCCAGCAAAACCAGATGTGCAGTGCTCTGCTGGCGGTGGGCTTACAGCCAGGGAAGCATCCCTGCCATAAAGGGCTCCCTTCCCTGCCTCAGTTCGGATGACTGGCTTTCCAGATGCTCAAAGGACCAGGAGCTGTTGCTCGTGTGTCTTCAGTGCTGCTACTCCTTCCTCTTCTATAAAGCTGCTAGTCTCCAGGGAAACACTACAGTGCTTATATCATCTGAGCTACGTAGTGGTGGCTGGTTTGTATTGCTTGCCTAGTGTTAAAAGGCTTTTTCAAAATGTGTTCTAGGATTACTTTTTTTAGTGGGCTGTACTGCAGCTGCAGGGATCTCCTAGCAAAGCTGGCCCGTGCCTGTCAGGAAATAGAGTGGTTGGCTTGCAGGGAACAGTGTACTCTCCTTGCACGCATCCTTGTAGTGTGGGAAACTTCCTACTGGAGGCAAAAAGGGTGTTTTGGAAATAAAAATGTGACTGATGACAGGAAATGTAGCCCTACAGCCTGCCATATTAGGAAACATATGTGCCAGTGGGAGAGGATCTGATGTGCTTAGTCACCAGTTGTTCTATCAGCTGATCTTGAAAAACTTTCATTATACCCATGGTGTTACCAAAAATAGAGATTAGCTGTAGCTGCGTGGTACTTGTAGCACAGCCGTGGGTTGAAAGCCTTGACTGCTGCCTTCAAAACCTTCCTGTTCTTTAATCACAAGTGATCAATGATGCTTTTTGCCTTTGCCAGGGATGTTTGAAGTCAGCTGTTGACCATGCTGGGCCCTGAAAATGCACACTGTAAAACAGGGTTTTGCCCAGCTGGGGCCCCAAGTGCTGTGCTGGAGGCTGTGCTCAGGTGTTACAGGAGCTAAATGTAAATGGGCCATGTGGCTACTCTTTGCTGTGTCCTGTTATAAGAAGGTGACTGTGTACTTACTGTGGTGGAAGTGCCTTGACTGAGAAAGGGGTGGTACATGTGATCCCAGCAATGCTTTGGGATAAACAGGCTTTGGAAATGATGTCACTTTAGAAAAAAAAAAATCTCCTAATGGTTTGTTGCTCTGTGCCATGGACTACTTCACAGCTAATGGCCCGGCACTGCTCACATGAGGATGCTGTGGCTATACTGGGTGAACATCAACATGCTGGGCTTCCCTCGCTGTTGTAGCAGTAGCTGCCATTTCAACCTGTAAATGCCCAAACTTTGCATCTCTGTTTCCCTAAGAAGCGGCTAACCCCACCTGTGCAAAGAACTAGCTGTGAGGAGTGTGAGATGTGGGGTTATCCTGACACCACCCCTGGATGTGAAACAAATCACTGATGTGAACCATCCCTGTCTTCAAAGAGGTGGCTTGTCTTCTGGGCCTATGCTGAGGTGGCCAGCTTGTGCAGTGCCAAACAGCCTCACAAAGCTTCTTGCATGCTAGTTGAGCAGAATAATTTAATCCCTCAGCTCAAAGGGAGAGTGCTGAATAGTTTGTAGAAATAGAGGTCAAAGGAATCTTACTTTTTCTAGTGCATAAGCTTTATATAATTTTTTGGGGTGCCTATAATAGCCTATGGATGGGCTGGAGAGAAGCAATGGGCTAGACTACTTAACTTTTTAAACCTAACTTTTAATTCTGGAGACTACTGTGTAAAATACTTAAAGCTATTTTACCCTAACCTAGAAGGGATACTATGATCACTGTTGGATGCCAAAAGGGACAAGAAGAGCTTGCAGGAAGAATAGCTAGTCTTCAGCTGCTGCTTTTTCAAAACCCAACATCAATGCATGTCATCACTGTGCTTGATCACTTAGTCCAGGTGGTAAATCTACTTGCTAGCCCAGAGCTCATCAGGCTTGGTTCCTCTGTTCAAGCAGCTTCCTGAGTCAGCCCTTATAACCTGCATCTGGTCTCTCTTGAAGGGACTGTTGCCTAGCTTGGCTTGAACCCGGCTTTAAATTTAAAGCAAGTCTGAGTGACACTGATTTTTTTTTTAATTTAGTGTATGGTGTTAATGCTGTAAGACTGTAAAAAGTCATGTTCTCCTGGCATGCTCTCATGCCTATGGAGAGCTGTTTGTGGGCTGAAACAAGGCATGTATGTCTGGGGTGCTGCGAATGGTGGTATCTCCTTATGGGCCTGTTTGTTCTCAGGCTGTGGATGGGATGTGCTTAGTGAAGAACATGGAAGGTAAGCCAGAAGAGCAATGCCATAAGTAAAAGCTAGGCTGGGAACTGACTACTTGACCAATAGTGGTTTAAAAATACTACTTGTGGCCTTTCCCCTTTTCCCTTTTTCCATTGCCAATGTGAACATAGAAGTGAGGGGTCTTTCTCCTTGCTCTATGCCTGGAAGTGCCTTGTGGGGTGTTTTGCATGTTTGTTTTTAAAAGATATTTTTGTACACAACATTCAAGTGGAAAATGCACTTTATAATTGCCATGTAATGACTCTTTTAAAACTATGGTTCTGTTTTTATCTGATTGTTAAAATAAAGGTGGAACAAAATGTTGGCTGTGTATCTTTGTTGTCATCTTATTTAAACACCCATGGGGCTGGGGTGGCGATTTGGACATGGGACCAGTTTCCTGCAAGTGGCCATCGGCAGGGAGGAGCACATGTCTGCAGTGACTCTGTTGCCTGAAACAGGAAAGAGCTGCCTGTTCCTGCCAGCACAAATGCTTCCAGAGCCCCTGCAAGCCACAGGAGAGAGGAGAGAAGCCAGGCCCTTGTCTCTGTGCTCTGAAGTTTCACCTCTAACCACTGTGTTCCTGAGCTACTCCACACTCTTCCCCTGCTTGCAGTGCTGGGAACAGCCTTTCAGGTTTTTCTGCATTTATTTCAGGTCAGTCTCAGTCCTTCCCCCACCTGCCTTGATCTGGGATCAATGCTTTCTCCTTGCCAGGGCACTGGGGTGTGGTGGGTGCTAAGAGAGGTGTTGCAGTAGGTGGTGGTGGGGTCAGGCTTTTTTCTAATACGAGGATCAAGTGAAAGTGAGACCCTTCACCTCAAACTAGTTATTCTTGTTACCGCTGCAGTAAAAAGCACTGGCAGGAAAGGTGCCCCTTTGCAGAAAGGGGTCAACTCTTCTGTAAATGCCAGCCAGGGCTAGTTTCAGGATTTGACCTGGCTTTGCCTACAGAGACCAGACCAGGCCTTGCGGATGCCCTGAAGGTGTTGCATTTCAAACAATGAACTACCGAGTTGGGTGGCTTTTGCCACTTGCACATAAGAAGAAAAGCTGGGGGGAGGGGAAAACCAGCATAGTCTTGGTGTGGGCTGGCTTGAGGGGCTCTGCAGGCTGTACTTCCCATCTTGCTACAAAGCCTTGCAGAGAGCGAGTTTAGCCTTTGCTCTCTACAGAAATAAAACTGAGCACCTTCTGACTGTGGCTATTTCTGAGTCTTGCTTTCAGAAGATGAATTGTCTTTCCAGGGTGTTTAGCTTTCCACAGCAGCTGGGTAAGGTAAAGCTTTTGGTTGCTCAAGTTCCTTCCTCCAGTCTTTGCATCACAAAACCACGTATGCTGACACAGTGGGGTGCAAGCTCTTCCACCAAGTTGTGAAGCTGCTCCTGTTGACAGAGGAATACGGTATCTGCATGCACCTGGGAAAAGGGTATTGCATGATGCTTCTTGCTGGTCTGTGATTGTTTTCCTCCTCTGTGGCTCGGAGGAGCCTGTGTGGGCTCTCACCTGCTGCTGTTGGCATTGTCTTTGTGGTGGGATTCTTCCAGGGGGGGCAGATCTGCCCAAAGGCAGCAGGGAGCTGCTCTGCAGTAGGAGTGCTCTGGTCCTGGGAAAGGGAACAGTGCAGGCTGAGGGGTGTGCTGAGGTGGGGGAAAAGGTATGTGTGCCTGATTTTTCACATGCAGGTGGGTAAGAGATAAACCCTGTATGTAATCCCCTGCCTGACAGCAGTTATTCTGTGAGAAGGAGCATGAGGGAAAGGGCTTCACTTAGCAACCATTTGCCATTCCCTTTTCTCCCCAAATTCATTGTCATCTTCATATCTAAGCAACTGCTGTTAAGCACCATTAAAAATGCTTTAGATTATGCATATATTTTACTACTGTTGTTGTTTTAATCAAACATGTAACACAGATCTCTTAAAAGGCCACCTAATTGTTTTTCTGCTTGCAGGGGAAAAAAAAAAAGTATATTTAAAAGCTATTTGTGTCCCTTCCCCCTTCCCCAACACATCCCCAGGGGATTCGAGTGGTTTGACCAGGGCTGCTTCCACATCTGAACACTGGCCCAAGCTCATGAGCGAAACAACTGCAATGAGGCATTTCCTGTAACAGTTTTGTGGCCAAAACCTCTGTGTGACGACAGTTTCTGTTTGAGAGATAAGGAAGTCCAAGCTAAGCCTGCTGACATCCGGGGCAGCTGAGGAGACGTGCAAGCATTAGACAGTCAAGAGAGCTCCTGGGTTTCTCTCCTAATGCCCAGGTGTTACTTGCTAGATGATACAGACATTGCAATTACTGCACTGATAAAGCCCTTGGTGGCAGGTGTGATTGTGCACTTGTTTAATATACAAAGATTTCTTAGAGTGCTTCTGGCTCCTGGCACCTCCCCCCACCCCCAAAGGTTCCCAGACTGCTGTATCCTTAGGGTTTTCAGTGCATGCCTCTTGGCAGAAATAAGCTTCGATGTTATGTTGATCTCAGCTGAGGTCTTCGAGGTTCAGGTTTCCTGAGTCTGTTCTGCAAAGGGCAGGGGTGGGGGAATAACACAGGTGTTCCTGTGGTCCATATCCAAATCCCTTTACAAAGTGAATCTCCCACTGGTCTAGGGATGCTGTCCTACAGGGGAGCAGCTCTGCTGAACCACTGCTACCACGGCAGCCTCATCTAGAGCACACTAGATTGCAAGTCCTGGATGTAGTGAAAAAGGCAGGATAGGTGCTCTCTGCACCCACATCCTGGCAGAACAGGGTCACAGAATCATAGACTGGTTTGGGTTGGAAGATACCTCAAAGATGACCTAGTTCCAACCCCCCTGCCATGGCGGGGA